CAAATGTAACAAAGGCAACAGTAAAAATATTGGGTTTCTGTCTGGATGGTCTCTTGTGATGAGCCGGTAGAGAATGGAAGCAGTGAGCTTCCTCCCATATTTGGGCATACCAGGGGTTATGACACTATATATATATCACAACCCCTGGTATGCCCAAATATGGGAGGAAGCTCACTGCTTCCATTCTCTATCGGCTCATCACAAGAGACCATCCAGACAGAAACCCAATATTTTTACTGTTGCCTTTGTTACATTTATATATAACAATATAAATGTATAATATAATATAAACATATATATATATTCCCCCCTAAGTAAGATATTTTCAGAAGTTTGGAACAATGCAAAAAGAAAGTTCCCTAAAATAGTGATTATTAAATGGGGCAATCCTATTGTCTAGCAAAGATATCTTTAGCTAAATTGGAATGTAAATTGATGTTTTGCTACATGATACTCTGCCCACCCAAAGCAATATCCTAATTTTAAAGAACAGCCATCCAGGAAGAACAGTGATAACCACTGCAGGTGTCACTCACAATATTGTTATATAATCACAACCTTGTTCCAATGACATTCTCACCCAGGCTACATATGGAATGTGTACACAAGGACTTCCAAATCCTTATGGAGATTCTCAGCATCCAGGTCATGATTGTCCCAAAGGTACTTTTTCAAAGGCAACTGAACTGATCTGAAGAAGCTTCTTTGATGAGAAGCAAAATGTCTTCAAGGAAAAACAAAGTCCAGTTGCCTTTTGAAAAAGGACAAGGACACATAAGCACAAAATGCAACGATTCTTCAAGAAAAAGGGCAGCCTCTCCAGACTCCATACTGTGAAGTGATGTGAAATAGATCCCTCAAATTTTACATTGAAGAATACCAGATCGTCAACATGAAGAAAGTGCAAGTAATACACCAGCTGGGTAGCTCATGTACGATGATTACTCATTCAAATTTTTGTTATAGCACCATTGCAATGACTCTTAAATACATTGCTCATGCCAATTAAATGTGATCATTTTTTTGTTGCTTGAAATTTTTGCAAATTGTTAACATGCCACAATCCCATTATCATTTTGCCATAACCTGGCACTCGGTTTCACACTGTGAGATGAACTTATGAAATCAAAAGGTAAAAAGCCTTTGATTTATTCAGTAACTAAAAATAAATGTTACTGTTTTTGCATGTTAAATGTGCATGTTATTATTAACATCGTATTAAACAGCAATATAATTTATTGTACAAGCTTGAAAGTAATATATTGATCTTGGTATTATCATGCAGATATTGAAGGCATTTGTATAGACAAAGCAAACCAAGGCAAACTCCTATATATGAAAATAAGTATTTGAGCTTCATAAAACAATACTTACTAAGTTTTCTAACAATGTATATTCATCAGTCATTGGGAGATAACAGTTTTATACATATTTTATTGGAAGATACCTGTTTAATTTCTACGATCACAGTAAACATTTTTACAACCTCAAACTGCCCCTCTTCCCATCCACCCACCCCCGCAAAAAAAATGCATGAGGATTGAGAGGTGAAGCAATCTTGGAAAAAAAATATTTACCTGAGTTCATATTTATTTGACCGATATTCTACTTTTCCCATCTACTAGATTTATTAAATGATGGATAGAAAATATTGGTCATTCTATTTATTTTATCATTTTTCTGACTGTTTGCAATTTGGTCCTTAATCAGAGATATCCCAAGGTGGTAATATTAGAAGTTAATTTAAATGGGTTTTTTTAAGCGAGTTGCATCAGTGTTATAACTGAGATTAAGCTTTATAATATCCTAGCAAATACGTAATTCATATCATTTTCTTACATTACATTACAAACCAGTGGGATTCTTAGGTAAGTTGTAGAGAAAGAGAGAAGGTAAGTAGCCTTTATATTACATAATAATTGAGAGGGGACAATACATATGTATAGTTTCTTACTTGGAACAGTACATTTGGTTAATGACTGAATCACATTCAGTTTTTCAGGTCTTCCTATCAGCAGCTGGATGATCATTGGAGAAATTGGATGCTTGCCTTCTGTCTGATTTAGCACAGCTGTTCTTAGAAGACCGTACTAGGATAACCTTCCAGTTTCTACTGCCTAATTCTCCAGAACCTGCCTGGAAAATCAGTGTGAATTGCTGGGCATTAATTTCAAAAGTACATATATTAAGGGACATAGAACCTAGCATTGCAATTTATTAATACATGCATGAACAATTTCATCCAGCTTTCTAGACATGTATATTTGTAACTTGTCCGGTTTGTGAAGTAGACAAATACATTCATTTTGCCCCCCCCCCCCATTTTTTTATTGTGGTATTTTCGAACTATTTAGAAGACCAATTTCTGAGGATAAACTCCATTGGAGAGTGAAAAAGTCGAACACAGGTAGCTCCAGAGCTGAGGAACCTTATTGATGGACAGAAGATGGGAGTCCACAGTGTTCTGGTCTACCTTGCGATGTTCAGCAACATCATATTTCACTTTTTCAGTATCAAAGTATTTGCCCTCCTGATGTTTGGGCATACGCAGCTTCTTCTTCTTGAAGTAAACATTGCTGAGATGCTTTGGAACTTTGACTCCCTGGGATATCAACCTCAAGTACATTCATTCTTGAATGCTATATAAGGAACTTTCTTAGATGAAACTTGCGACCCGTCACTTAACTACTATTTGACCTCTCCAGAGCTTCTTATGACCTGTTTTCAAAGTTATGAGAGCTACTCCACTTTGCCCGCTGCAGTCATGTGATTGCATTTTGGCCACTTGACAACTTACTCCCTTTGAGGTGATTGGCAGTATCAATCACCTCATGACCACAATTCATGATGTTTTAATATGACCCATGGATTTGTTTAATGACAATGGAGTTCACTTAATGACCAACGCAAAGAATGTTGAAAAATGGATCCTTTCATAGGATGTTTCAATTTACATCTGCAATGATTTACAACTATAATTCTAGCTCAATTATGGACATAAATAACTGACTACCTGTATGTATAATTGATTGACCCATTCAAAAAAAAATCTGTTGGAAGTTAAAAAGCAGAAATTTTAACAAGCCAAGCTGAGGTGTGATTTCTATCTAAACAAACAGCAATTCTGCCAATATATTGCAAATGTGTTTTCAAAATCAATGCGGGATTAAGCCATTACTTAAAAATAAAGGTCAGGTTTAGCACTGTGCAATTTATCTGAACAATGTCCATAACAAAATACTATACTAGTCCTATGCAATTGTTTTTAATCTTACAATTAGGAAAAGAATAGCAAAGTGTCCACTAGATTCAGCTCTTTCATCATGTTTTTCTCCATATCTTGCTTTCCCATGCCCATGTGCAGTACAGATCCTGTTTTGTTTACAACTAGGTTTATAAATTATATATGGGTGTAGTAGATAACATGTGGCCATTGAGAAGCAAATAATGTATACCTCTAATGTTCAATAATCCAGTTAGTATATTGTTTCAGATATTGAAATAAGATCAGGAAAAGATTGAAATCAACTCTTAGCAATGGAAACTCAGTGGGCCAGTCACTCTTTCTCAACACAGATTGTTACATCACGAGTTGTTGTTGTATGGATAAAATGAATAGGTGTCCCACTGTAAGGTGACTTGAGCAGTTGGAAAAATAGCAGGATATAAATCTAACAAATCATTATCATCATTGGCTAGTGGTACAGTTTCCAACATTACGAAACCAGAACCTTATTTATTTCCTTCCTACCTTTCAACATTTTAAAATTTTTATTATAAACTTTTCCTTTCCCCTAAAATGTTGAATATATCCATCTATGTGTATGATATTTACAAGCAGGATTACCATGTCACTGTTGAAAAAAATTCAGATGGTCATTAGAAAGTAGTGAAGAGTTAATAGTTATTCAATGTTTGAAATCCCAAAGCAAAGTAGCACTTACATGTGAAAAATGTACTGTGAATTTGTTTCCATGCTGGAGTTCTATTTTTAACAATTGCCTGAATGAGATAAATGGGTACTGAAGTTTATTGACTTTCTTTTTCCTATCATTTTATTTTTTGTGTTTGCTTCGTCATCATAATTTTGTTGGAGCAAGTCATAATTAAGCCCATTTCTCAGATGGAAATTGAATAGACCAGAATACTAGTTTACATTAGCATTTGTTCTGGCAATAAAAAGAAAAGCCATCATTTGTAAACCAATTCATCCATATAACTTTAAGTGGAAATAAGATTTACTGACTTTGGATTTTCAGCTACAGCCTAATTTCTACCATTAAATCTGTCCTTAAACATGCCGGGGGTTTTATTTTAAATGTGCTATCTTTTTGTATCATTAGGATGTTAATGGTCATAATGTAAGGTGACCAGACGTCCCGCTTTTGGCGGGACACCCCCGCTATTTGATACAATTTCCCGCGTCCCGCCTGCTTTTTTTTTTTTTAAAAAAATATATTTTATTCATTTTCACATTCCATTTGCAATCACTTATATACAGGGTATTTACTATAAAAAAA